AAAACGTAGACACAACACGAACATTAACAATTGCTTCTAAAAACTCGTTAACAGAATACGGTTCTATGTCTAAGATATATTGAAAAACATTCTTCTCAAAACTGTTATAATTTTTTAATGTCTTAATGCTTTGTGGTAGTAAATTAAAAAATTTTAAGCAAGCATATATGGGGCATTTCTGAAACAAGCTTAGTGTATGTGCCGGATAGTTGTAGTTATTGCGTTGCCTAATGTATAGATAATTTTTTTGATACAATGTAAATTCTGATTTATGTTTATAATTATACATAATACATTCGTATATATATAATCCTACCACAGTTAAAACTCCGTGCCTTTTAAACTGTCCCCGACATGATTCCTTAAAGTCAATTCCACACATTATCCGTAAAACTTGTTTTTGAATTACTAGGACTTTCTTTATATTAGTTTGGCTGGTACTACCCCATATCAATATGCCAAACCGTAACCTTGACTCAAATGTTGTGTGATAAATAGTTCGAATTACAGAACTGCTTAGCACTCTCTTAACTACTCTTATACTATAGCACACATTGTTTAATTTCTTTGCTAACTCGTCAATGTGATACGACCAATTCATGTATTCGTCCGCTATGATTCCCAAAAATTTTGCTTTCACTGATAATTTCCAACTATTTTCTAGATGCGCGTTAGAATAAGTTGATAGATGATTACTTTTAAATAACACATACTGAGATTTTTTAACATTAAGCGCCAATTGATTTTTATGCATCCAGTTTTCAACGCCAGAAACAACTTGCTGTGTTTCATTTTGTAGATTAACACAATTTTTAGCTCTAATAATTAATGAAGTATCATCTGCATAATTGATTAATAAAGTGTGTGATTCGCAATTAAGTGCGTCTGATAGGTCATTAAAGTACATAAATACAAAACAGTAAAGGACCTATTATACTTCCCTGAGGAATTCCCCTTTCCAGAGTTGTTATTTCCGAGTAATACGTGTTACCTTCTATTGTTAATTTAACCTGCTGAGATCGTTTTGTTAAATACGATTTCATTAAACTTAGTAGGATGCCTCGTATTCCATATTTTTCTAACTTATTTAGTAATATATTATGATTTACGCAATCATAAGCCTTAGGTAAGTCTAAAAAGGCACCTAGGGGCAATTCTTTCTTATCCAAGATGGTTGCGACTTTGTTTACAAAATGAAAGACGGCTGTTTCAATACTTTTACCTTTAATGTATCCGTGTTGATTATTTCTTAACATTTTGCACTTGACAAAAAAACTGGTCACTCTACTACTCATAATTTTTTCAAAAATTTTTGAAAAACACGTTAGTAAGCTAATCGGACGGTAATTTTCAAATTTTCCCGGGTCGCCTTTTTTAAATAAAGGTACCACTGTGGCTAGTTTTAATTTTTCTGGAAAGACGCCGTGCTTTATTGAGCTGTTAATTACCACCCTTAAAGGCTGGGCCAAATACATAATTACTTGTTTCACTAGGTTGTTGGATATTTCATCGTGAGCTGATGTTTTTTGTTTTTTAAGGATCTTACAACTGATACTACTTCGTCATCTGTTACCGCATACATAAAAAAAGAATTTTCATTATACGGAATCTCATCTCCATAGGGGATTTTTGGTAGTTTACCTATTATGTCGCCGGCTGCATGTGCATAAAATTTGTTAAGTTTATTTGCTATTGTATTCGGGTCGCCTTTCAGAGAAAAACTATTGTTTTTCGTTCTCTTCAAGTTTCCCGTCACGGCACTTACATTTTCCCAGGTGGTTTTAGAAGTATTATCGGAATTAGAAATTTTGTCATTATAATATTTTGATTTTGCTGAATCAATTAACGTATCGGACGTATTGGAGGTCACCCAATTTTCATATCCCCAGAAAAATTACCTCAGGAGTATTCGCCTCTCTACCGAAACATAACCACTGGAATGTTTGTTCCAAGAACCATACCGTAATATAATAACGGGTGATCAGAAAAGGATTGACGTCGAGTCGCCTTTGGAAGTTCCAAGTTAAATATGGTTTCCCATGTAAACATAAATTCCAAAGGTGTCTCGACAGTAACTCTTTTTTGATTGCATAGTAAAGGTTGTTTCAAATTGTGCAGTTTTTTTAAGAATAAATAAAATATAGAGCGCCATATATTTGTCTGGGTATTGTGAAATTTAAAAAGTGCGATGTATGACATTTATATAAATGGCTTCGTCCATGAACAACAACGCTTTCAAATTGTTGAATTTATGAAAGTCAGCCTTCTTTGAAAACTGTTTTTAGAAAATTACGTGAACTTTATTATCGTCCATCTGATAGCACTACTGGTCGAATTATTAAAAAATTTCCAGAAACCGGTTCGATGGAAGATCAAAAACTGGAAAATACGGTCGTACCGCTCGTTCACAAGAATATATTGATTTGGTCCGTGAAAATGTTACTGAAGACCCTGTAATGTCCATTAAACGACATTTCACAAGTTGAAGTTATTGTATCAACAACATGGAGTTGTCTGAACAGCCAGTTCAAGAATAATAAGTCGATTCCTGGACTTAATAAGGATGAAATTATTATTCGTGGCATTGGTGAGATATGCTCATACAGCATATGTCAAAATGTAATAAAAAGTTTTAACAAAAAAAGTGGACTTCTGCCGAGCTTTGGTAGATATTATTTTTCACATATAAATTTCAGAACTGATACTTCAATTAGGTACCAATCAAAAGTTTTTGAAAACGAATGAAGGTTATGTGTTTTATTCATTCTTAAAAAACCGCGCAATTTGAAACATCCTATATAACACGACCCTAGATGAATTGATATTAATAAGAGTTCTACCCGAACAATATCGATAATTTTTCAATCTTGCTGCTTTAGTATTCTTATACTTTGATTCAAATACTTGAACTTTACAGTATTCAAATATTTAGATAAACCTCTCGCCAGGAAAGATTGCCGGTCACAGAACACTTGATCCCGGTCTACAATCTATGTTTTTCTAAAGATGTGAGCGAATTCCGGGATAGTATCGTGTCAATGTTGAACAAAAAGACTTTTCGTTTAACATTGGCACAATCCTATTCCGGAAGTCGCTCGCATCTTAAGAAAAACTTAGATTCTAGATCGACACAAGGTGTGCTGTGACCGGCAATCTTTCCTGGCGAGAGTTATATCTGTTATATGAATTTGAAGACACACAAATGCATCTAGTCGAGATCTATCCACAATTGTAATGTTGACCCCGACCGACAGATTAATCTTGGCGGAATGTACAAGTTTCACTTTGTGAATATCTTTCTTCCATACTCTGTTCTCGAGATATATCCACATTTGAAATGTTGGCCTTCCATCTTTCAAGGTCTCAACGGTCACCACTTATAAATCCAGAACGGCTGGACCCATTTTCATGATCTTTGATTTGTTGGATTCGTGTCCGACCCGAATAGCAGAATAACCATTAAAATATCGAAGAAAACACAAAAAAATAAAGAAAATTGCGAGGAAAATTATTACAAAAGTAAATAAGAGAACTAATGACAGCGACCGTTACATCAACGGTTTTCAATCTTACCAAACTGTTAAATTAAATACTATCAAATTAAAATGTGATAAATATAGATTATTCGCGGTTGCGATTATCAGTAAATCACGTGGTGGGTAATAATGACCAATAAACGCAAGACATCTCCTATCACGCAAGTCTTTAAAGGATTTCAAATGTGCACAGTGCGATTATACACTCCCAAATATTTCAGTGTGCAGTGTGCCGATTAAAAAACAAAATACTTCAAAATATGTAAAGTGAACAACATTGCAATTGTGCAATAAGTCGTCAACTAGTTCTGAAATGCCTTCAAAAGATTTAAAATGTGCACAGTGTCATTAAGTATACAACGAACTACTGTATCCGACACGTAAGAAGACGGAAGATCACTCATCCTCACTATTCATATATCCCCCTGCTCTTTCATACGTGCCGGTACCAATATAAAGTAAAATTAAGTACTTAGCCATATGACAACTTACAATACTTTCAAATATTTAAAATGTGCATAGTATGTTGTAACACATCACCACCATGTCCTGGAACGGTATCTCTTAAATCACAAAATCTCAAAAGATTTAAAATGTGCACACTGTAATGGCATTATATGGAAATGTTAGGCAATGTCAATGTTAATAGGTATATACGAGGTTCGCCGAGATAGGCGATAAAACGTTCGTTGGGTCTGCTATTATGTATATAAATAGAAATAAATGTCTGTCTCTTATGCATGTCGAAACCGTTCATCTGATTGCGATAAAACTTTGGGGAATGGTTGCACGTATGCTCGCGAAAGTTTCTGAGTTAGTAAAATACTCGAAATTCCCATGGAAACGGGAACAGAACAAAAACAGGATTTTAAAGAGCGTGAAGGTGCGTACTCCGAAAGAACTTCCTGAAGTTCCCACGGGAACGGCGAAAACAGAAACGGGGTACGGGAAAAAAAGCGATACGAAGTTCGCCAGGATAACTAAATTGGCGCACAAATCTGCACAAAATGGGCAAAATATTTTGGAAAGTCATCAGTTGGGATGCCGAAACAGGCCTGCTACGTTAATCTACCTGTCCTAATTAAGGAAGTCTGAATTTAGGAGAAGGAGAGTAAGATGTGTAATTTAGCCGACGACTCGCCACAAGGCTTAGGATGATGCTTCGGTATCTGGTAATTCCTAGAAAGCGGTTTAACGTAACAAATGTTGTTTTCCAGCACATAGTCAGCTCAAAGACATTACTTTGGGTCCTTTTCTACTAACCTGTAGTTTTTTTTACATGTCCAACCCCTAAAATGAACACCTATTTGATTTCGATTTTACTTCTAGATTCTGATACCCATTATTACATTCGCAGATCTAAATTTCTACAAAGCCCGCAAACTGTTCCAAATTGCGATCCTGCACCACAAACTTGCCGTACACAAATTTTACGCGTGAGAAACGCAAAGTGAATAAACTTACCCTTAAATTTGACTTTATCAAAACTGCTGGTGATGAGCCGCAACTCGGGATTGGGAGTGTCTCCAATCTGTAAACCAAAATTACAACATTAGAAGTGACACTCACTTATTCTTGAACCCAACCCAGTTTATACGCGGCCAACCCCAATAGCGTGACTAAAATCAGTTGCATTGTTGACCTTCCATAGGTAATTTAGTACTCATGCCTGAATAGAGAAGAAAAGGACACAGTGGCGAACATTAAATACCCATTAAGAGCATATGAATTCAACTTTCGAGAGACCGGCCAAATGAACAAGTAAATATTGTGTAAACGACCCAATAAAATTGCAGTAAAAATACTGCCGCGTTAGTATGATATAAATTCTTAAAGCAAAATGTACAAGACCCTTTTAACGGACGGGTACGTTACAGTTAGCGGGCGGTAATGTCACTGAAGATTAGCATATTGTGAGCGTGCGATGTCCGTTTTCCCAGCTTTTAGACGGGTTTTATAGTGTCCGTTGCTCATTGTTGCGATACACCGAATATATTACAAAGTGGACGACGACGGCGCCGTGCATACTATTCGAAAATTTCGGTTAAAACCGCTACTGCGCTAAATACATAAACAACTGCAAGAATGCGTTTGTAAAACCGCAGCGAACGTACTGTATGCGCTTTACACTATTTCGATGTAGCTTAATGTTTTTTATGAAGATCGAGGATCCCCTCATGTTAGGTATAGTGGGTTTTAAACACGGTCCTGTAGATTAGCGTTTATTGTGGGACGCTTGTTAAACTTTCGGTAAATTCTCCCCCTGCGCTAAAGAATGATAACGACAACGCATTTGGAAAATTGCTTGCCTGAAACGCACGTGATGGCAGTTTATTTGCTTCGTCGTGTACGCCATAGCGATTTATGAACATTCAATGGTGATAGACTAAGATAATAAATAACATGCCTACTTTTCTGTATGGAGTGATACGTTTTCATGGATGTTTCTGAACGATAATAATGCTAGAATTGACCTGCTTTCAGCGACTGTAAAAATTTATTCCGCAGTATGAGATATTTCATATTTATACCCGTACCTAATGAACACAGTTTGCCAAATGAAATCAATTTAATACATAAAACCGCGAATTGATATGTTGTTTTCTATTTAGTTACTTAATTTCATAATGTTACTAGCTTGATCTTATTTTTGTTGTCATATTTAAAAAAAGTTCATTCTTTAATATACCTCACCAAAAAATAGTAGTATCCATTTAAAAAAAGTGACTCTGAGTTCTGTAGACGTCTCGGTAGACACATGCCGCTGTAAATAATTTTTAAACATGTAGATTTACATAAGTTTTTTTAAATGATTTTTGATACAAAAAATTGCTTTCACATAATTAACAAAAGAATAACTTTTTTTTCAACGCAAACTAGTGAAATTATGAAAGTAATTTTAACACAATCATTTTCCTCAATTTGGATTTTTTTCCTTAATTTGATTATGTAATATAATCAATTGATTATGCCGCTATATCCAAAACAGTGTACCTACTCTTCAAGAATATGTAATGAAAACTAGTGGTTACCATTAAAAAAAAATAACAAACCCCCCTTGACCATGCAGAAGTACGCCACTGATCACAAATTTAAATCGGCGATGCTTGGTGTCGGTTTGTCGAAGTGGATGATGATTTTTTTATGTCTGGGTCTTCCAATTGACTCCGGGAAATGTCGGCGGCAGGTCCAGTGGGTATGTCGACTGTAATGGTGCACAGGAGGCATCTGTTTGTATGTTTTCCGTGCATTGGGGTCGTATCAGCAACGACTTTTTGCTTTCCAGTATTAAATGACTGGCCCATCAGGCGAGTTTTGTGGTAGGTAACTTGCGAGCGAGGAGCCATTTTAGCGGTTGGTGGTCGGTGGCTAGGGTGATTGCTATCCCTTCCACGTATCCTAGGAATCTCATGAGCGCCCGTGCCACAGCGAGGGCTTTTCGTTCCGTTGTGAAATTATTCCTCCGCGGCTGGCATACTCCGCAGATCATTCACCCAAGCTTTCTCATTAGATGAGTACAGCGCCTAGGGCGTACTGGCTGGTATCGTTCCTGATGACGAAGGGCGCGAGGTCGGATCAGCCTGTCGCAATATCGATGCGGTGGTGAAAAGGGCTTTCAACCGATTAACGGTGGCGCATTGCACATGTCTGAATAAAGGACATGAGGTGCCTCAAATTCCTGGAAGCTTGTAGATCGGCAATAGCGGAGGTCTTTGCGTGTAATAAGGTGACCTACGTACTTGATGCGCGTACATGCGAAATGGCATTTTGCCCTTGGCCCTTTCAGTTTGAACTGGCATAGTCTGTTGAAGGTGCGTTGCAGGTCTTGTAGGTGAGTGGCGGAGGTTGGGGATAGGATGATAATGTTGTCCAGGTAGGATAAAATGGTGATGTCGGTGGGTTAACTTTGCAAACGTTCGACGAGCCGTTGGAAGGTCGCAGGGGTGTTTCTTAGCCCAAAAGGCATCTTTTTAAATCGGTTGAGGCCGAAGGGAGAAATGAAGGCGGTTTTAACACGGTTTTTCTTCACCGCAATTTGTCAGTATCTGGCCTAGAGGTCGATGGAAATTATAGGAGCTTCCTTGGCAATGTGGGAAGCGTGACCGAATTTAAATCGACGCATACCCTTGTGGAGCCGTCGCGTTTGGGTACCATGTTGATCGGATTCGCATTCCTCGATAATTTCCTCAGTTTTCATTTTGTCCAGTTGTTGCCGAGTTGTCGCCTTGGCGGCGTTCAACCGGTAGAGCGATTGGGCGACAAGAACGCTTGTCTATGTGGTGCACCAAGTATGGGGTAGACTTTCGGCTCTCCCCCTGGTGTAAAGGCTAGTGCCTTTGCGATCAGTTTTGCGAGTTACCTAGATATTGGGGCGGTGGCGATGTCTTCCCCTATTGTTCCGTGCTCTTTCAGTAATTCCGTGAACGAAACGTGCGAGGTTCTTCCGTATTCGTCGGTGGAGGAATCCGTATACCATGTGAAGTTAAAGGGTTTCGTGGACTTCCCCCTCGATCTTCGCAATTATGCCTTGCTTTTGCACGATGAAGAGTTCTGTGGGATCTGCGTCGCTTTGTTCCGTCTGGAACAGTTTCCTGAACAATTGATGTGCGGCTTCTTGGTATCTTGTCGTCGTCTTCCAACAACATGGTGGGACCTCGGAGGCGGTTTTCATCAGACATGTTTACGCAGTCTTTGTACGTGTCTATATTGTCCACAAAGGGGCTACACGTCTCCGGATCCATGAAAACAGGCTGTGTATTTTGTAAATAATCCTCCAGTGGATTGTCTTCAGGGATTCATTCAGTACCTTTTCTGTGAGTTGGATGGTTTTCTGCTGCTTGCTGTGGCAACTTGGCATGGGCTCTCACTATTGGCAGCGTTTGATCTTCTTGAGCACCAATAGTTAAGTGCACATTCTTGTTGGATGCGTGAGTGAACGAAGGTAGTCCAGAGGGATATAAACAAGTAATTTATTTACACCTAACTTTACACTGTCCTTGGGTTTGCTTAAGATAACCTTGTAGGTCGCGTTACTTGGGTCACCGGAATGATCGCTGTTGGCGGATTGCAAATGTGGTTTTAGTTGGGAGCGTCGCTGTTAATTTTGTATTTTTTTGTCAACGCGACGCAACTGTTACAGTGTGTTAAAGTAGCACTATGACCGTATTGAACAAGAAAACACAAATTCAGACCCTGCTCTGTACGGAAACAACTGTTGCAGTCTGATTTTGAACGAAGACCGAAATATTCTGATTGGTATATTCAACAAATTCAAATTGTTTGTGAAATGTAAAAATGGGGGAATAAAGCTAATTATTTCCAATAATGTCTTGATTTGCCTTTGTCTCCGTGCTACATCAAATATGCAAATGACTACTTTCGGTCCCCAAGAAATGCAATTTCGTACACTTTCTGATTGGATGGTAAGTACAGGAAAATGCATTATTTCTAAAGATTTACTGTTTCTCTCCCTACGGTTTCTTACTCTATACTTTTTTTACCGCCTATATACGTCTATAGTCTACGAGTATAACTATAGTATCTATACAGACCGAAATGTGACGTATTAATACAGAGGTAACAGAGGAGTGCTAGCGATAAGCCCTTTCCACTCGAATCCCACGAGAATGGTAATGAGGTTCTTATTGCAATTTCTAATTATAGTTATTCTGGCGATTGAACCTATATTTTGTGAATCCCCGATTTAGTTTTGACGTGTTTTGGCGAGGCTATTGTTTGGGCTTCACTAATTATTCACTTTATTATCAAGTTACGGAATTTTTTCATTAAACTCTACGTCCACCTTTAATTACGACTCTCAAGACAAGATTCGTATCATCATACTAGTCGGCGGCCATTTTGTTGTCGAAGTTAACCAAAAGCAAGGTCCACGGGACCAGGATAGCACGTATATAATGATTTGGGGTCATTGGGTCCACTGGAATTAAAATAGTGAAGGTAGTAATTAATTGGATAATTCCTTCTTAAGGAACGACTTAACGGTAACACTATAGTTTTGAGATAAATTTGAGTATGCAGGCGGTTGAAGTGAAAGTGCAAAGCTTTAGTGTGAGAAATGTCTCCCCGTGTACCTACTAACCTACCTAATAATACATCCTTCTAAACTTTAACATGAAGGAACAAAAGAAAATGCAAATTAAAAAAGCAAAAATTTAGGTATTCGGAAAAAAAATTGATTGAGTTTTGCATCACGTCTATCCTACAAGGGGTGTTCTCAAAATTTGAGCGAGCCGTTCGATATTGGGTGCCTAAAACCCTTTACGGATATGGAATAAATAATACACAATTACATTAAAAACAAATGGCTTAATAACATAAAAGAATTCAAACAAGATCACCATTAATGATTTTCTTTTGAAACAGAAAGTTTTCCCCCGTGGTTTCAGGCGCTTCGGCTATTCACACATTTATAATCGATATTAAATTAAAGAAGGCTCGACTAATTCTACAATATTACCTACAGTAATAATAGAAAATCCCATTTAACAAGACTTGAGCTTTTAAGTCTTT